ACATTTTGGATGATTTTTTTAAATCTAGGTTCATGAGGGATATTGGTCTGTGGTTTTCATTTTCTTTTACCATCTTTGGTATCAAAGTAATGCTGGCCTTCTAAAATAATTTGGGAAATTTTCCCTCTTCTGAGAGAGATTGTTTTAAAATGGGTGCTATTTCTTAAGTGTTTGTTAAAATTTATCAGCTAAACCATGGATCTGGTGATTTCTTTTTCAGAAGGTTTTTACTATGAATCCAGTTTTATTAATAATTATAGGACTATTCAGATTATCAATTTAATCTGAGATGGTAGGTTGTAGTTTTTTTTTTTCCAGGAATTGGTATTAAGAAATTCTTGTTGAGGGCCGGCCGAGTGGCGCATTGGTTAAGAACTGGCTTGGGATGCCAGAGGGCCCCGGTTCGGATCCCACATATGAGGGCCAGTGACACTGCCCTCTACAGCTAAGATGCNGGGCCCCGGTTCGGATCCCACATATGAGGGCCAGTGACACTGCCCTCTACAGCTAAGATGCTGAACAACAGCTCAACCTGGAGCTGGGCTGCCGTCCCCTGCTGCCCTGGGCTGCTGTAAGCTACCGCATGTAGCAGGCAGCCGCCGTGAGCGGCTAGCAGCCACCGTGAGCAGCAATCCAGAAGCCGGTGACTGATCTGCCTCACCCGGGAAGAGCGCAATGGTTGTGCCAACTTGGGCCAGTGAAGCAATGTCCTCCACAACTAGACTGAAGAACAAAACGACAGCATCTTGTCTGTTCCCCTTCCCCCGATTCCCCAATAATATCTTAAAAAAAAAAAAGAAATTCTTGTTGAATTCTCAAGTTTGATTCCCCCTGGATTACAGAAGAGATCTTGATCCAGGTTGTCCAGGTTGTCTCCAATCTTCTTAACAAGAATCAGAATAGTGGTAGGGAGAGGAAAAAAGAAGGAGGTTACAGGGGATTCAGGGGAGGGTATTGACTGAGTAATTTCAGGCTCCTACCTTCTGAGAGATTGGCCTATCACATAACAATGTAGTTACTACAAGTCATTCAAATCACTATTACATGGCAGGGGCAGAGGATTTGAAATGTTATTCTATAAAGTAGCTGAAAACTGTGGGGCTGGAGGTGGGGCCGGGTTGGCAGGTAGGGATGGGGGTTGGAGTCAGGTCTAAGTGTAAAAACCTGGCCAGGGAAGGCCACGGGTTCTCCACCTCAACTCCCACTAGAGCAACTTTCCTCCACTTTACATGCAGCCAATACTGGGGGCACAGTTTAACTGCTGACATGGCTTCTGCCCACATATAATGAGCAGTCTTTTTAATTCTTGTATTATTTTGAAGAGAATTCAGCTTCTACAGAAAAAATTTGGAAAATACTGCCCTCAGATGTCCCAAAGGAGGTGACTCGGGTTCTGGCATGCACTCCTTGGGAAGGCAATGGGCCATTCATTCCAGCCTAGGGGCACTTCCATGGAGTCAGCCTGGGTTTGGAAACAAAGTTGTGGCATCCAACTGACTGGCTACAATTCTTCCTCCATTTAGTCAGACACAAACTGAGACTCATAAAGCTGAAAGCGACTTCATCAATCTCCCTGCCCAGGCCCTTATTTCACAGATGAGGAGACTGTGGTCTAGCTGTGGGACGTGACTAGCCCAAGGGCGCATACCTTGAGGCAAAAATGGGATTGGAGCCCACGTTCCAGGGTCTTCCAGGGTCCCAGCACAATGCTCTCTACACTTTACACATAAAAGAAGTATTGATTAGACAGCTACTATATACGTGAGGCAATGTGATGACAGTTTCTGTCGTCATGGAATTTTAACTTCAGTGGGGAATACAGACATTCAACAATTACACAAATAACTAAAATAAAATGAGTGTTAAGTTACTAAGAAGAAATGCAAGGAATCTAAATACGTTGCCTTAAAAAGATCTAGTCAAGTACCACATTACTACCAGTACCAGTCATAGTGATCCCAATGAAAAAGTTTCACCTTGGAAAACGGGAATTTCAATGATTAAGTGAAATTTCATGTTAAGTCTGTAACCTAGAGATTGCTTTTGTTGTACATCTGAAGCACAATTTTGGATAGGTACATGAAGGAGAATGTCACATTAGTACACTAAGGAGCTACACAAAAAAGAGACATTTCAAGTCATGATTTTAGCCATGGGCACTTTCCTTTGTTGGACCAGGACCAGGATGAAGGAGCCATTGTGAGGTGACTCAAGCCAAGCACGACCCAGATACTGTAGACAGGGAGGTAGCCCTAAAGCCACAAAGGCCCTCAAAGAGGCTCCGGCAACCAGCATGACACTCCAGAAAGCAGGGGCTCGCTGAGTAAACCAGGTAGTTCTGCAGAGTAAGGAATACATCAATCTAGGATTCTATGTTTCAGTACCTCGATAGTGAAGAAAGGACATGATGAAACATACAAATAAAGTTTCTAGTTTTACCTCAGAATCTGACAAATAGAACACTTTCAATGGGAAACTTCTATGAAAATTTGACAAGTTATTCTTTTGGGAGCCGTTTCCCCCACAACTGGCACTCTCATGATGGAAGCATTTCAAGTGTCTCTGATTTTCCCCTACACTTTCAAGGGATAAATACAATCATCGAATTTGAGACTGGAGGTGCAAGTGGTCATCATTTAAGGTTTGCAAATGGCAAATTACCACATGGGAGAGTTTAATAAACCAGACTCAAGTCTGTAGCCCATGAACTGATAGGAAATCAGGCTCTTTTAACCATAACAATCAACAAAAGAAAAAGTAGGTATACGATTCTGTGTGAAGAAAAGAGACTTTTGGAAGGAAAAAAAGTCAAGTCACCTACCAGGTGGCTGAGATAACTACTAGAAGAGATGTTCCCAGAAGTTTCTAAACTACATTGTTAAGTGGGGTAAACTGAACAAATAATTTGGGACAGAAAAGCAGAAATAATTATCAGATAGTGTCACCACAGAGCTTAGGATTCAGGCCACAACATTACCAAACTAGTGTCTGACCACCTGCCTGGGCTCATGGCTTGTTATTTCAAAACCACTGAAGGTACTCACATTTGTTAAAGGTATATAGCATTTACGATTTTTAAAATGTTTATGTATTCAGCTTAAACTTACATTTGCACCAACCAACTTTGATGGGGCAGAAATAATTCTTCATCACAACAGGCTGTACCAGTCTAAAGCAGCGGTTACTACAAAGGCTTAATGAAAATCTCCCTCCTTGAAAATTATTAATAGAAGTGGTGGTTTAGTTCACATTTCCCCAGACCCTCAGGAGCTGGCTAAGTAACTTCAGAAGTACCCTGTAGACTTCAGTAATTCTGTGAGTCAGTGGAAAAAGGACAACGATTAATCTTGGGCTCTGTGTTTCAATGCCTCAATAGTAAAGAAGGGACAAGATAAAATATGCACAGATAAAGCTTCTAATTTTATCTCAACACTTGATAAAAATAATACTTGTTTTCATATATGTTCACTGCTGTATACAGAGCACCTAGTACTGAGCCTGGCATATAGTGGGAGCTCAAAAATGTTTTTGGGGGGCCAGCTGAGTGGCTCGGTTGGTTAAGAGCTTGCTCAAGAGTGCGAGCTTTGAGCAACAGGGTCGCCGGTTCAATTCCCACATGGGCCAGTGAGCTGCGCCCGAGCTGAGCTGCCAACAGGTGGCAGGATGGCTCAGCTGGTGAGAGCATATGCTCCTAACAAGGTTGCCGGTTCGACTCCTGCATGGGATCTTGGGCTGCGCCCCCCCACAACTAAGATTGAACACGGCACCTTGAGCTGAGCAGCCACAAGCTCCCAACGGGTGGCAGGATAGCAACTGGACTTGAAGCTGAGCTAGCTGTGCCCTCCACAACTAAGACTGAAGGACAACAACTTGGCTGTTCCCCTTTCAATTCCCCAATAAAATCTGTTTTAAAATGTTTTTTAAATAAATGCATAATCTCATTATCAGACAAAAAACTAAAAATACATGCCCTGAAAAATCACTATTTGTTATTCATACTGATATGCAAATAAGAAAGGAAATATCAAATCAAACATCCATTTTATTATTTTTTCTTGGTATGGTTTGGTGAAATCAGACAAGTAAGAAGAATGCATACCTTCTATTGTTTACTAGTTATGTGATCTTTTAGGCAAATTACTTGAATTTTGCCTCTATTAAGTATCTATGGCGTCGTATCTAAAATAAGGGCAATAATCTCTGCCTCAGTGTCACAGTAAGGATTAAATGTGGCAATGCTGTTTCAGAGCCTGGTACACAACAGGTGTTCCAACAAATGAGAAAACCCATGACAAAGTATCAGAAAGCCTCTCATATTCTCCTTTGACTTCAAATATGGATCCCAAGTAGAGGTTTCTGTCATCCATGTCACTTTTTGCATTTCTTCCCAAAGCAATGAGTCCTTCCACTCATTACAGCAAGAATTCTCTACCCTGGCTGCTGATTAGAATCCCAGTGGAGCTTTCTAGCAAGGTGACTTGCTCACTGACTCTCCAGTGCTGTGTGGGCAGGCAGAGCTGCCTGGTGGGGTTCTCTACCTGTCATTAAGCACTCGGACCCTGAGCCCTCCAGAAGCCAGGGACTTGGGGAGAGACAGACACCAAAAAGGAAGCAGTCAGGACACAGGGTGCATGATGCTTCAGAGGTGAGTGAAAGGCAGGCACAGCATAGAGAGTACCAGGAAAGAATGGTCAGCCCAAATTAGGAGCACATAACCTGTTTCTCAGAAAAGCATCCTTAATCTAGCCAGTAACTGAAAGGCCATTTGGAAATAACTTTCATAAGCTGTGATTTGATATAAACTGTGTGAATATACACCTAAGCTTTCCGAAAAACAGGTCTGAAATTGGCTGGTTAATTTGGCCTAAACCGTAACATATGCATTGATCTAAATGTTGCTGAAAGACTCCATTCTGAAAGCAACACAGGTATTTTTTCAATGTAAGTATAACATTTTTAAAAAAATTCATAAGTGCTTTAATCAGAAAGTCAGTACTCACCAAACTGAGCAGAACTATTTCTCTTCAAGAGGGTACCAATCAGGTAGAAGCTGTTCTCATTTTTACCTCCTAGATAAGCCATATGCTGCTTTAGTCTTTTGTATGACCTCAAGGATGTTGAAACTTTTCAGGATTCAGTTTCTCCATCTGTTTAAAAAAACAGAGGTGTGGGGAGGAGATTACCGGTTAGCTTAGTTGGTTATAGCGTCGTGCTGAGAACACCAAGGTTGCCGGTTCAATGCCCACATGGGTCACTGTGAGCTCCACTCTCCTTAAGAGTCAACTATGCCATTGTAGCATGAAAGCAATGTGTAACCAATGACCAGGCTGTTCCCCAATAAAATTTTTTTTTAAAATAAAGCAGAGGGATGGATCTAGCTAACTCTAAAACACTATGCTTCTCTTTCAGAAAACAGAAATCACTGTTACTACCTACCCTGTAGGCCAGGTATTTTATTACCAAATATGCATGTGTTTTAATATGTGGTTCCTGAGAAGGGTAAGAGGGACCAGGGTTTAAAAAGTAACACAAGTTAATGCAGACTTAAAGAAAAATTCCCTAGACGCCTTGGTTCACCCCAAACAGGACAGATCGCATTTCTTCCCTCCTCTTTTAATCAAATTTCTGAAACTACATCTCCTAGATGCCACCAACCTCTCTCATGTTGGCCAAAGCTTGTCTTAATAATACTTAAGATATTAATGTCTTAAGATTTAATATCTTAAAATATACTTACAGGCTGGGAACTCTCTTGCTAAGTATGTGGTTGTTACAATCACATAAGATGAGCACAGTATTAAGTCTGTAGCTTGCTGGGGACCCAGTGCTGCATGCTAATCTAACACCCTTGCTTAGCCCACAGCTAGGAGTGCAATATGATGTCCACAAAGAAAACCCAAGGCTTAAAAGAGTATTCCGATTTAGTACTGGTGACGGATGTATCACAAATATTTTTGTGATATAAACAAATTATAAAAACTCCAAATTAAAATCAAGTTAACATGCCAGCAAAGGCCAAAAATAATAATGGAGGCAAAGTCATAAAAACAGTATAACAAAGACCAGCCTATTTTTAAAGCATCAGGAATTTAGAGTACAAGAAGAAAATTTGATATTTCATAAATTCCAACACAGAGAAAAATCTTAGTATTCACTAAACACTGCACACACTTTCATAGACCTTAAATTTGATACTACACGCTCTGGGAACCCAACGTATCTATAGAATATTCAGCATTTATTAAACACTAAGAATACTTTAAGAACTGTTCCAACTGTGTGTGGTAAGAACTATTAGCACCGATGTAGCTATAGAATATTCAACATTTATTAAGCACTAAGAACTGTACAGAGTACATAACTGAGAGACCACTCACAGAACATAAGGATTTAAAAGCACAGAACGATGACCAAACCAGGAAACAGTTTCAGTCTTTACAACAGCCTTGTTCTATAATTACTTGAAATGTACTTGGCTTGCAGCGATAAAAGTCAGTTCTTAAAAACTGGAGAACTATTACTGTAGCCAAAAGTTAAAGCACTTATGCTGAGTTAATGAAATAAAATTAGGAATAAGCGGATTTGTACTAACATAAAATGTGTCTGCAAAGTGAAACTCCATCTCTCAATGTTTCTAAGGGGAGCATAAAACCCCTCTTTTCTCAGTCCAACTCATTTCTTTGAACCTTAATACTGCATTAAAAAATGTCTAACTCCTACCATTCTGAAGGAGCTCTTCTAAAACGCAAACAAAATTTTAATTTTAAACATTCATAAGAAATCATACCAATAATTTTTTTCTACTTATGCTGAGAGGAAACATGCAAAGGGAACCAAAAAATGTTATGAAAAATGCTTTAACTTTTCAAAATATGGAGGATCATAAAAAAGTCAAACCCATGCTAAACATTACCATAAAATTATTTCTTAATGTAAAAATTATTTAAGGGTCCAGTCTCAAATGAACATAAATATTTTTTACGAGTATATAGGTGAACAAAGTATTTCTCTCATTTCCTTCAGAATGTGTTCACATAGCTCTTAAGTTCGCAAGTTGTAATATGATCTAATACATTGTGTAAATGGATTCATTTGGAAAGCCTCCTCTCATTCATATGCCTGAAAAATGCTTGAACCCTGTGTTCTAGGAGACCACACTTATAATTAGTTTTTTATAAGATTTGCATTGTATGCTTCTTTACATGTCTTTAGACACTTAGCAGGGCCAGCCCCAGCGTGGGTAGCAACTGAGCAAACAATAAAATGCTCACTTGCGCAAATGCTCACAGGCCTAAAATAAGTCCTTGGCCTTTGGTTATTACCTCCCCAAGGCTTTGGTTAAGTTTCATTTATTATACCTGAAAGGAATAATAGCTGGCAGCCACAAATATATGAATAAATACGACACATTAATTTTTTTGCCAGCAAAGAAAGCACCAGTTGAGAGGAAACTCCCCCACCCCCACCCCCTGTGCCCCAGCTAGCAGTTTGGTTGCCTGGGGTCAAGGAAATGAAAGGAAAGGAGGGGTTCCTAACAGTAGGTGAGAAACTTGAAAGACTGATTTCTGTACTTCCCTAAGTTGCCTTAAAGGCAGGCAAGCAATTCTATTTTGTTTGTTTTAACACTCAAATAACTTTACCTATGCACATAGCACATAACTAAAGATAGAAATAAAATGTGTTGAGAAAAAATATAGAAGGCCCGATTACAATTCACAGAAAAGTAACACATTTGTATCTTCTAGTCAAGAGAAAAGCATTCTGGGAAAATAGACACACTGGCTTCCCAATGCCCTAAGGCCTCTGCAGCTTGGCTGCTTTATTATGGGTGCTGGCATATTAAAGCCATAGCACATCCATCCTTCCCTCATGCCAACATCAACCCAATGATGCGTTTTCCAAATAAGTTGTCTATGTTGGCCAAGGGAGGCGCTCTTTGCATCATTGCTTTTTGTTTAGAAGGCAGTTTCATTTCATATAGCATCACCACATTGGAGTTGATTTGGCCATAAACCAATAAAACAAGCCTCAGACTATGTTCTCCCATTTGTTATTCTCATCTTTCATACACAACATCTTCTAATTTTAATCATGATTCTTCAAACCATTCCATTAATTGAGGGCAAAAAAGTGATGTTGTTGAAGGACCAAAAATCACTAGTATTTTAAAAAACATCTTGTAATAGAAATATTTGTTTCAATATACAAAACAGCAAAAAGGTAGTTTTGAACTCTTGGAATAGAAGGTCAAACTACTACTTTAAAAAACTAGGTATCAAATATATGATGATGGAAGGAGAACTGACTCTGGGTGGTGAACACACACTGTGATATATAAATGATGTATTACAGAATTGTACACCTGAAACCTATGTAATTTTACTACCAATTGTCACCCCAATAAACTTTAATTTAAAAGTTTTTTTAAAAACTAGGTAAATATGATATTTGAGTGTGACAAATAATTTGAGAGCATTTGAAGGCGTTTAAGATATTGACATACAAAGAATAAAAAGTTTGATTTATTAGACAATATAATCTCTGAAGATTTCTTTCATTTTAAAATATATTACTGTCATAATAAAAAGTGTTGGCAAAATGAGGTTTACTTTTCAATTGTTGTGTAATTTGTCGGCCTTTTTTCTGCCTTCCAGTGTGCATGAGGCTGCTGTTCAAGTTAAGGCAAAATATAAAACTCCGCAATAGCTCAATTTCCCTTTAAGTAAAATGAGAAAATTGTCAAACATTAGTTCCTACCTCGCACTACTTTTCAGAACAGTAAAAGCTATAAAGCACTTTACAAATATGAAAAAGCTATTTTAGGCTGGCCGAGTGGCTCGTTGGTTAAGAGTTGGCTTGGGAGCATGAGCTCTGAGCAGCAGGGCTGCCGGTTCGGATCCCACATGGGCCAGTGATGCTGTGCCCTCCACAACTAGACTGAAGAACAAAAGGAAAGAAACTTGTCTGTTCCCCTCCAATTCCCCAATAAAATATTTCATAAATAAATAAATAAGCTATTTTAAAAGATTTGGGGGGAAATAAAATATATAAGCAGGATAAATATTTCTAGAGCAAATTATTTTATAACTACCTTTTAATTTTCTAAGTCTCCTATATTATCAAATGCATTTTACAACAGCCACAATCCCTAGAGAAATATTTTAATAAACACTCTTTGAACAGAGGAACTGTCTGAGATTGGAGACCAAAGTAGACATGATGACTAAAAGCACTGTGGGATCCTGGATGGGATCCTGGAACAGAAAAAGGACAGTAAATGGAAAAACTGGTGAAATCTGAATAAAGTCTGGACCTTAGTAGTTCTGTACCACTGTTCATTTCCTGGTCTTGATAAGTGTACCACCGTTAATGCTATCAATAGATTGAAGAAGCTGGGTAATGGGTATGTGGGAACTCTGTATCCTATTTTTGCAACTCTTCTGCAAATGTAACATCAGTTCAAAATAAACAAGTTAAAAAGCCACTTAAGAAAATTTAGCTGTTTTATTAAGAATCTAAATGTTCTAAAATAGTTTTTAATATATAAGATTTGATTCCACTAGTGAACTGATTCCACTAGATGGCACCCTATTGTCTTCACACACCTCTTTTCACCTGTCATCCAGCACATGATATACTAAGTTTTTCTTGAACTTACTTTATAGCTCCATTGGGTACCATTTCTTTATATAATACATTCTATGATTTGACTCTCACTGCATAAAACAATGTTTGCTTTATTTCCTTGAAATGTCTTCTTCCAGGATTCAAGCTTCATTATCTTTCCAGAATTTTCAGGTAAGGTTTATCAACTCAGTCATTCAATACATTTATGGAGCCCTTACTTTGTGCCCCATTGTCTTTACAGTCTGAGGCTACCCAGTCTTTAGTGGTGACCACCATTACAAACGTCCCATCCTCCTGCACCCTTGAAAAAACTGCTTAAGAGCCAGACGAGTAACTGAGCAAGGAGTAATGAAATGCTTTCCCCTTTGTTTTCATGACTCACAATGCACTCAACACCTCAAGACCTTTACTGCTCAAAGGAAAGGTTAGTTTTTCAATAACTTCTAGATTCCTCCTTTTATGTCAAAGCTAAAAACCGAAGTTCCTTTTTAAGTTAAAGCCAAATAGCTAAGAGTCTACC